TCCTGCCTGTGCGGCTTCCCTTATGGGAACTCCCCCATCGCCAGTTCTCTCTCAGTTATTTTCCTTCTAGTGAGTCCAGGGCGCTCTCATTTGGGTTGAAACTCGCAGCATGAAAGTCCACAGTCCGTTTTTGTATAATCCCGTGCGCGCCCGGACGTACTCGCCGCGGCGTCTTTGTTCTCCACAACTGTATGTTTTTACAGGAGTAATGTTAAATCAAAACTCCTTTCAAAACAGCATAATCACCATACTGGACATTTAGGGTGCAGAGGAAAGGCGGCTGGCGTTGTTTTTCTGGGTTGCTTCTGCGCTTGTGCTAATCTCGCTTCACTAGCATCAGATCCAAACTGTGTGACTTGAAGTGTTTCTCCAGCAGGGGTTTGAGCTGTGTTCGCAGCAGCAGAGTCTTTCATGTTTTTAAAAAAGATCCCCCAATCAGTGTCTCCACACCCCTGCAGGCTGCGGCGCCTCCTGCAGGCGGCCGGGGACGCCAACATGAACGCCCTGCGGGTGTGGGGCGGCGGCCTCTACGAGCAGGACGCCTTCTACGAGATCTGCGACGAGCTGGGGCTCGTGGTGAGTAGGCGCGTCTCAGCCGCCGTGACTCCCCTCCCGGCCGCTGTGGGGGGGCCCCGGGCGGTGGCTCACCCTGCTTTGCTCACAGTCGGGAACGATGCTCCGCGTTTGGCAGAGGGGCGACCGGCGTCCCGCACCCCAGGCCCGGTGCGGCAGGGGTGCGGCAGTTAGAGCCCGACAGACCTCTGCTGGCCTCGCTCGGCTGGCGCTGCCCTAGAGGCACATGACAGCGCAAGTTTAGCTTGGAGGGGCCCTGTCAGGACCTGGAGGGAGGGAAGCGAGGCGCTGCGCTGTGGCTGCGGTTCTCCCAGCAGCCCGTGCTGGTGTCTCCCACAGAGAGGGGCGGACGCCGGTCAGCGCGGTCACGGTGATGGGGCGGCGCCCGGTGGTCAGCGCCTGCCAGGCCTTGTCTGAGCTTTGCTCTCACCTGGCGCTCGCCCTGATGTGTGGGGATTCCCTCAGCTGTGCACAAGGAAGCTGCGCAGTGGGGCTGACCCACGCCCAGGTGGCCGCCTGGGCTGCAGACTTTGCGCCTTCACAGTACTGTGTTCCGACATCCTGGCGAGCCCCAAGCTCCCACTCAAGGTTGGAGTGAAGGAGGGATGTGGAGAGGCCGCGCGGCGGGTCCTCCGGACTCTGCCGGTCCCTGCCTGAAGGCCCTTCTCTGCTGCGCAGCCCTAGGCCTGCGGCCCGACCCCCAGAGTTCAGGTGGAGCCGCTGCTGCCGTGGTGCTCACGCCATGGTCTGTTTGCCAGGTGTGGCAGGACATGATGTTTGCCTGCGCCCTGTACCCCGCGGACCCCGCCTTCCTGGAGTTGGTGCGCCGGGAGGTGGCCTACCAGGTACGCTGTCCTGCGAGAGGGGGAGTCTGCCTTGTTTCCTCTTTCTTGGGCCTCTCTGCTCTTACTGTCGCTCCTGAATCCCATCAAGATCACGGTGGCGCGTGGGCTCCTAGCAGACCCCTGCCCACGTCTTGTCAGGGTGTGCTGACAGCCCCGAGCCCCCGGCCACTGGGTCCCTCGGCTGCCCTCCCTAGCCTTGCCCCGCTCAGGCGGCAGTGCTGGCCTTTGAATTCCTCAGGTCAGCATTTGACGTGACTGCTGGCTCCTTGCCTTCTTTAGCTTCCACATCTGCCACGTACGTGCGTCTCGTGGATCTGGGAGCTGAGTGCCCTTGCCTCGTGGCTCCGGGGCTGACGTGGCCGGGAGCCAGATGCCACATGTTGGTATCGGGCATCCCTGCGTCCACCTGGTCTTCCTCAGTAGCGAGTTCTCGCTGCTGGGGGGCGCCCCGCCCCTGAGCCCCTTGGTCGGGGACACCCCATCGGCAGCCCCCTTCGCGCTCACCACTGTGAACCTTCCCCCTGACCTGGTGAGACCGGACCGGGGACCCTCCCGGCATGCTGCCGCCTGTCGTGGTGGCTCGGGTGACAATGAGACTATTTTTTTTTTCTCTTCAGTTTTTATGTAGTAGAGCAGAGGAGCCCTGTCTTATTGGTGCTTGTAAAATCCAGCTGTCCCCCAGGTCACTTTCCCAGCCCCTTTCCAGTGAGCTTCCTGGCACAGACAGAAGAACTTTGGCTGTGACTGATGAATAACCACGGCCCTGATTTGTTTTTCATGCTGAGTGTTTAAAAATTGCTCTGCTTTTGTCCACGTTAGGTCAGGAGACTGAAGTCTCACCCCTCTGTCATCCTCTGGAGTGGCAACAATGAGAACGAAGCCGCCCTCAAGATGAACTGGTTCAACGTGAGCGACACGCGCACCTATGTCAGGGACTATGTGGCCCTGTACGTGAAGACCATCCGCGAGGCCGTCCTGTCTGTGAGTGGGGCTGGCACCATGCGGCCGGGAGCGTCTGAACGCGGCCTCTGCTCTGCGTCAGGGCACGTCCAGTCCGCTCGCTTTCACCCAGAGTGGTCTGGTGTGGGGGCTGCCTGGACAACGGACTCGCCTATGAGCTGAGCTCACACCAGAATGTCACCACCACAGGTTGTCTCTCACTCTCTGATCCCACCGTGGTGTCCGGGTTAGAGTCCCCTTGGCCGGTGTATTGACATGTCACTGCCAAGGGGCCCCGGGGGGCAGTGCAAGGCCGACGTACCGCAAGTTACCCCCGAGCGAGCTGGGCGTTGATAGTGGGGTGGCCCGCTCTGCCCATGTGTCTCCTCAGTGCTCCTGGCGTGACATTCTTGGCCTTAAAATGCCACTGAGGCCACTGCTTTTCCGCCTGTCACAAGGGGGTCTGTGTGTCGTCACTGACCAGTAAGTGGGGGTTTGCCAGTTTCTTTGAAGAGGAGCAGGGCTGAGGGTCCTAGCAGCTGTCTCTCCTGTGGGGGCAGCAGGCCTGTAGGGCGCAGAGGACAGAGGACACAGGGCGACCGCCCCGCATGGCTGCTGCTGCTTAGTTTCCCTTCACACTCGCTTTCCTACAGTGGCCATCCTGTGGCCCACCTTCTGCTGTCTCTTGGCCACAGAAGGACTTAAAGCCCTGAATGGAAGGAGGTCACGGTGGGGTGGGGGCTGTGACTACAACTCCTGAGTGGAAGGCAGTCTCGGGGTGCCCTGGGTGGGTACTTTTAGGCAGACTGGTAATTGCTGACTGATGGCTACTGCGAGTTTGGAGCCAGACGGAGAAAGCAGTCACGCTTGATGACCAGTTTGTTGGTCTCCCCCGTTTTACGCCAGAGCTGTGATGACACAGTTTTCAAACTTGAGACTGCCCGCCACACTCTGACTGTCCCTTCGAAGGTCTTGAACTCCGCCAGCGTCTGCTGCGGCCTTTCCCTGTGCTAACGCCCTGGGCTCCCTCACGCTGGCGCTGGCGAAGGTGGCTCTGCTGTGTGTCTGTCCCCGAGAGCTGGCGCCTGTCGCCCTCAGCAGGGAACGGGCATGTCAGCGGCTGCCCACTCCGCAGCCCTCCCCGAGCTGAGGCTGCTTGCCTGCAGGAGCCTCCCGAGCCCTGCCGCCCTCTGGAGCCCTGCTTCCCCGATGGCGCTGCCTTGAGGCCGGAAGCGAGCTCCAGCCTGAGACAGTGGCCACTCACCTGTGCGCTGGGCTCCGCCAGGGCTGCCGGTTGCTGCACAGGCCACAGGCGCCAGTGGTTCACTCACGGAACCGCACAAGCAGGAACTTCCACAAACAGGGAGTCCCCAGGTACAGCGACGCCCCAGAAATGTCTGTGACCGCTGCTGTGTCCATGGCCCCTCGGCCTCGCCCGGTCCCCTCCCTCCTTTCCCACTCAGCTGGAGAGACCAGGCCCCTCTCCTCCAGCTCCCAGTGCCAGCTTCTGTTAGTGGAGATGGAGTGTGAAACTGGGGGCTGTTTACACACGAGTCACTTCCTGCTTGCGTTGCCTTCGGAGGGGGTCGCCTGTGTCCCCACTTACAGACAGCTGGCGCTAGGCCTGCCCAGGGCAGCAGTGCTGGCTTGGGATTTGGGGTCTGTGCGCCGCGTCTCTGCTCTTCCCTGCAAGGCCTGTGGTTCTCAGGTGGAGGCCCCAAAACAGTGCCTGGAGAGGGGTGTGTGGAGGGTGTGGTAGGTAGGGGTGCGGCTCTTGGCACCGGGGTGGGGGGGGCAGAGTCCAGGGCGCTGCTGCCCTCCCTGCAGTGCCCTGGACCCACTGGTCAGGGGTGTGGGCTGAGCAGGCTGAAAAGCCCTCCTGCCGGCCGGGGCTGGCCCCAGGTGGGCAGTGTGGAGTGTGGGGGCACTGGCCGCCTCCCGGGGTGGGTGGGCAGAGGGAGAAGGGTGCTGGGGGTGCAGGGCTCGGCTGTTGCCTCGTGTGGGGGCCACTTGGCACTTCTGTAAGGAGCAGGGCTGTGGGCCCACCTGGGCAAGCTGCCCTCAGCTGTGACCTTTCCCACCTCAGGGAGACAAGACCCGCCCTTTTGTCACCTCCAGCCCTACGAACGGGGCCGAGTCAGTCGCCGAGGGCTGGCTCGCCACCTACCCATACGACACCCACTTCGGCGACACCCATTTCTACAACTACACCAGTGACTGCTGGGACTGGCGAGCGTTCCCCAAGGCGCGCTTCGTGTCCGAGTACGGACACCAGTCCTGGCCTTCCTTCAGCACGCTGGAGCAGGTGCGTGGGCAGGGGTGGCGATGGGGGTGCGGGAGCCCTGGGGGGCGGTGGTGGTGGTAAGGGGCCGTCTACTCGCTAGGGCCAAAGGGCCGAACACCAGCGTTCCCATTAAAGGGAAATTCAGGGAGAAGTGGCGGAACTTCCTGCTTCAGCTGCTGGGGCGACAGCTCCAGCAGTCATCGTGGGGGGCGGGCGGGGAGGCCCTTTCTGTAGCGCTCTCCCCGTGGTCCTTCAGGAGCCCTTGCTACTTTCTGAAGTGACCTTCCATGCCAGTGTCCCTGTGCCCAGGACGGCGCGAGTCTGCGGGTGCCGGAGTGCGCGGTCTTTTCAGGATGTTCTGACTGGCAGTGACTGACAGACGTGAGGGCCAGGCTACAGCGGCGCTTGCCGTTTGCCTGCTGAGGTGTGGACACGCGTCAGGCCCGGCCCCACGAGTCACAACGCGAAACTGCAGTTTCTTTTTCCACATTAAATACGGCTAATTTACTTTGCTTACGTTTGGGGACAAAGATTCCTCGAGGCTTCACCTTCAGGCGATTGCCTGTGCGTCGCGTGTCGGGGATTTTTAAGTCGCATTTCATGAACAGGCATCAAGTTTTTTAATTTTCAGGTTTTTGAGAGTGGGTGGGATATGTTTCTTCCAAGTTTCTCTGTGTGGCTGAACGTAAAAGCTGATGTTGTCAGATGCCATCAGTAGTTACTTCAGACGCTCATCGCGCTCTCAGAGGCTTAGAGACCTGTGCAGCTTGCTTCTGCACAAGGTGACCACTGATGCGTGCTGTCCGCTTTTGTTTTTCAATTTGCCTTGTCAAGCGAGTCCAAGGAAGTGCCGCAGAGTTGTGCTGGCTTTAGGGCCCTTCAGGGCGGGGAGCGCTGTCGTGTGGCTTGTGTGACATGACATCGCAAGGCAACGTGTGCGTGTCGGTGCGGTAGCGGCAGCCAGGGACGCCGGCAGGGAGCCCCGCCTTCTTCCTGTAAAGGACTGAGGGTGGAATGTCACTCTCACCCTTTACTCAGCTGTGACAGTCTGTTGCTTGGATAGTGGCATTTTAAACGGCACAGTAAGATGTTTTGGAAACAGGAATGTGTCTGGTAAGACAAGACTTGAGAGGAACCCCGACCGAAACTCCCCAGGCGCGGGTGGGGGTGCCGGTGCCCTCCGGTGACTCCGCTTCCCAGGCCCCCCCCCCCCCCCCAGTCCCTAGGTTGCCGGCTGCGTCGCTGGGGCCATCTGAGATGCAGATACGGCCGTTCCGTATGACCTGCCTTTCCACATCGGCAGTGGTCTCACAGTTTGTATCTCTCGTTCTTTCCTCAAAAGGTGTCGTCCGCAGAGGACTGGTTTTACGAAAGCGACTTTTCCGCTCACCGACAGCATCACTCTGGCGGGAACGCCGAGATGCTGCGTCAGGCTGCTTTTCACTTCAAGCTGCCCCAGAGCACCGACCCCGTGCGCAGGCTCAGAGACACGATCTACCTCACGCAGGTAAGGTGCGCTCCTCCCGGGCCGACACACAGGCTGTGGGGGCTTTGTAGGCCACTTGAGAAGACTGGTCATGTCTGCATGCGGTTGAGGTATTTAATTCTTAAAACACCTAAGGAGGAGAAACAAAGAAGATGACATGCAAGGCCGGAAATAGTTCACGCTGGCGTTTGTCTTTCCCACACAAACAGCTCAGAAAGTTGCACAACAAAGTGCAGTCAGATGTTCCTTGGTTACTAGGATGGACACAGCGGCGTTGCCCAGGGAGAAAGGGGACCCGGGGGAGCCCCAAGCAGACTCAGGTCTGACGCACCCCCACCGAGTCCTCTGGGAGCGTCAGCCTCACCCATACACCTGTCTGTCGGGCCTCTTCATGGACAAGGAGATGAATCGTGACTCCGAACACAAAAGTGAGCTAGGCCAGACAGCGGAGGCCCAGGCGTGAAAGGCGGGACGGTGCAGCTTCTCGGAGAAGGCAGGAGAAGCAGGCCGCGCTCTTCAGCAGGGCCGGAGCACTGACTGGAGGGAAGCGAGGGTGAACTGGAATTCCTTGTCAAAGGCGCCGTTTAGAGGGAGAAAAGGGAAGCCACTGATCGGGAGCATCGTTTGTCACGCGTGGACACGATACGAGACTTGGACCCAGAATAAATAACTTCGTTCCATGCAGTGATGAGGAAGGGACGGCCCGTTTACAAAGGGACGGAGACCTTGAGCCAGCAAAGGAGATGCCACGCGCTCGGAATCTGTGGAAATGTGCTCAGTTTTTTTCTTCACCCAGGAAATGCGGGTGGACACCGCCATGGCCACTCTCTGCACACACGGACACGGGGAAATCCAGCCCAAGGGCCATGTTGAAATGACGGCCAGCAACTGTGGGTGGGGACGGGGACGGCTGGGGCTTTGGGACGTTGTTAGTAGGGGGGAATTTGTTTGACCATTTTCAAAATGGTGTCTTGAATGACCAGCGTCGGGGGAGCCGACTGTGCTTGGAGAGGGGAGAGCTGGCTCTGGGAAGGCGCCTCTTGCAGCTCCAGGCCCCGAACACCTCTCTCCTTAGTCAGAGGCAAGGCCACCAGAGGCCGGGTGAGGCCACGGGTTTCCAAGAAGAGTCCTACACCCGTGCACTCTCCTCACACCACCCCGACGTTGGAACCTGCGGAGTTACACTGGGTGAAGCCAGCTGAGCACGTGGAAAGTCCACCAAGAGCCACTTGGCCTGGGGGGGGCCTTGACAGAAGAGTTGGGACTGGCCGCGGAGCCCTTGGGAAGACTGGGCACCTCTGGCCGCGGCAGCAGCCGCAGACACCGACGGCCCCGCGGTGCCCTTGAGACGAGGACAAGGCGCGTCGCTCAGACGCCGTCGAGCATCGCAGCAGAAGCTCCGTGGACGTGACGAGAGAGAGCTGCGACTGGTGCTCAGCAGCCTCGCGGGGCGTTCTCTCCCCGTCCAGCTCTTTCTGAGGGAGAGTTACTTTCAAATCACTGTGAATGTGCCAGGAAAACCGTCCCTTGGCCACGTGCTCAGCCACAAGGACGCTTGCTCGGGGACGGGGTGGGGGAACCCCCAGGCCTGTGCTCAGATTGAGCTCTGCCTCCAGCGATCGCCGTGTCCCTCAGGTGACGCAGGCCCAGTGTGTGAAGACGCAGACCGAGTTCTACCGGCGCAGCCGCAGCGAGGTCGTGCACGGGGAGGGGCACACCATGGGGGCCCTGTACTGGCAGCTGAACGACATCTGGCCGGCGCCCTCCTGGTCCTCTCTCGGTGCGTGCCCCGGGGCCTCGGCGTGAGGGAGAGCCAGGCGCGGGTGGGCAGGGCAGGGGCCGGCCCCACTCACGCAGTTTCCCAAATACACCCAGCCCCGGGCTTTCGCTTGGCTCACGAGCCAGGATGGTGCTGGTGCCAGCGGGGATGTGGCGCCAGTGGCCCCATCGGCTTTTCTGCATCCAGACGCAGTCAGCGTTGGGCACAGGGTGTGCCAGCCCCTGCCTGGTGCCTGGCCTGGGCCTCGAAGCCACAGCTCCTGTCCGCCCTGGCAGGGGTCACCGCAGAGCAGGCCTGAGGCGTCGCCCTCACCTGACGCTCCCCCATGGGGACTCGGTCCACTGTCCAGGTTCAGCTGCAGCGGGGGGCGGTGCTGAGAGTTGGGACTGAAGTGCTATGCGTCAAGTCCTGCCAGGTGTGGAGACGCAGGTGCGCGTTGGACCTGGGCTTGCGCGTGGCCTCGCTGCCTCTCGCGACCCGCCCTGCTCCCTGCGGGCTGGTGACCTGGGCTGCCTGCTGGCCCCGGCCTTTCCTGTGGCTGCGTGCGGGCGCGCCCATGGGGCCTCGATCCCGCAGGGGATCTCACCGCGCAGATGCCCACGCCCCGCGCAGCCCCGGAGGCGTGGCATCCTGCCCAGGCCTGGTTCTGGAAGGACTCAGCGCCCAGTGCTGGGGCAGAGGGGCGCGCGTCTGGCGCAGCCCCGCCCGGCCGTGCACAGCCACGCCCTGGTGGCTGCTGCTGACGCTGCCCGTGTCCACAGAGTACGGCGGCAAGTGGAAGATGCTGCACCACTTCGCCCAGCGCTTCTTCGCCCCGCTGCTGCCCGTGGGCTTCGAGAGCGAGGACGTGCTCTTCATCTACGGCGTGTCCGACCTGCCCACCGACTGCAGGGTGAAGCTCACGGTGAGCACCTGGCGCTTGTCCCCTACGTCCAGGGAGGCTCGGGACTTCCTGCCGTACAGACGCTACGTTTGGGGGAATAAACAGGTGATTTGTGTTGAAATGTCTGGGGCCTGCAGCAGAAGGTGCGGCCCTTGGGGTCTCTCAGGGGTGGAACCCCCATTTCTGCCGTGAAGCCAGCCTGAATGTCTCGGGGATGCAGTTTCTACAAAGGCCCGTTCCTGGGGGTTCCCTGGCCAGTGAAGGAGTTTCCTGGATGACAGCAGGTTGTACCTGTAAAGGCCACTAAAGGCCACCTAGAAAAGGGGTCTCAGAGAAGCTGGAAGGCCCTACGTGTGTGTAACAGGCACAGATGATCAAAAGTGGTGCCTCAAGTGGGAGCCGGGAGGCCCCAGGATGGGCGTGTGGGGCAGCGGACGTGCCGGACGGTGGCGGGCCCCGGCTCCAGGGCGTCCTGGTGGCTGCAGTTTGCTGCACACCTGCCGGCGAGTCTGAGACAGAGTCCTTCCTGCCAGGTCCCCTCCCGGCTCGATGCCTGCTGTGGTCTGGGCCGCCCCTGAGTGTGGCCCTGCCCGGGGGCTGGGGCATCCTGGCCAGCGTGGGCAGTCGCCTGGGGACGCGGTCGGCCTGAGGAGGGCGGCTCCCTGAGCAGCCCTTCTGCGCTCCTGACCTCGTCCGCCCCGCCCCGCCTCGTGGCCTGCCGCTGGGCCCCCAGTGGGCCCACTCCTTGGGCAGGGGTGCCGCTGGCCGGGCGGGGCCGTCCTGCTCCAGGGCTCTCACAGCGTCCCATGCCGCCCCCTGCAGGTGCAGGTCCATGCGTGGCGCTCGCTGGCGCCCCTGTGTTCGCTGCAGACGGAGCTCCTGGCGCTGAGGGCCGGCGAGGCGCGGCTGCTCTTCCAGAAGCCGGTGCCCGAGCTGCTGCGGAGCTGTCAGAACTGCACCCGGCAGGCCTGTGTGGTCTCCTTCCAGCTTTCAGCTGACAGCCGGGCCCCGAGCCCGACCAACTACCACTTCCTGTCTTCCCCCAAGGAGGCCGTGGGGCTCCGCAGGGCCAACATCACGGTAAGCGGCTCTCGCCTCCCACCCGCTGCGTGCAGGGGCCAGACGGCTTCAGTGTGACGTCGGCACATGCTCTTTTCCCTTCCCGTCACCCCTCTGCGCTGGGGTCCCCGGGCCTGCGCACTGCCTTGGGAAACTTGGGGCACCAGCCCGAAGCCTTGGCCCGTGCGCTGACAGGTGAGGCCCCGCTGGAGGTCTGTGTCACCAGGTGCCTCAGCCCGGCACCCACTTGCATCAAGATCTTGCGTCGCTCGGTTAAGGGTCTCGCTCCACTCTGCTTTCTTGCTCCGCATAGCTCGGTCTGCAGGTGGCTTCACGGTCGCCAGGGGAGGAGGAGGGTGAGCGGGGCGAGCGCTACAGCGGGCTGCGGGGTCCTGGCGGGCCACCGGCGTCCCTGCCCCCTGCACACACAAGGGGCGTCCTCCCGGGAATCCTGCGCGTCCGGCGGAGTTTGAATGTGTTACTCCTGCTGCGCCGAGACCTGAGAGGGTCTTCCGCTTTTACTGTAGAAGCAACCGCAGAAAGACACGGTCCTTGAGTTGGAAACGTGTTTCCCCAGTCACCACGGCGATGGCTGCGGCGATGGCTGAGTCCCTGTGACAGCTGATGGAGGAGTGTGGGGAAGGGATGTCGCTCGTGCAGCCTGAGAAAAGCAGAGCGAGCTGGGGCGGGCTCGACTCGGTCATAAAAGCGCCTTCTCTTTCCTGCATGTCCCAGGGGCCCGGGAGGGTTTCTCTGGCCTCTCAGGACAGCCGCCGGGGGCAGCTCCAGGCTGTGCCGGACACCAGGCGTCCTGGCCATGGGGCTGGGCGTCCGCCTCCCGCCCGGTCCCACCTCTCTGATCACCATCTGGTGTGCTGGCTTCTGTTTTCCTCCTGCCGCCGCCAGGGCAGGTTTCTCGACCAGCGGCCAGCTCGGCGCCTCACTCGCAGGTCCCTGGCCACTCGCCGGGCCTGTGTGTTGGTGGCTGACCAACACTGACCGCATGAGGTGCATGTGCTGAGGGTTCGAGGCTTCACTGTCGCAGGCCAGGGGGGCCCACACACCCGAGCATCTGCCACCGCCCGGCCCTGGGCCGTGTGCCCGAGAGAGCAGGCGGAGACCGAGCCACCCACCCGGGGGCTACCAGCTTTCTCACCTGGGGCGAGAGCACAGCGGGGCATCTCCACAGCCCTCATCAGGCTCCTGTGTGTGGGCATCCAGCCTGCATGTGGGGTGGACAGCACTGGCCGCTGCGGGGCCAGGGTTGTGTGGGGCCCTGGGCGGTCCGAGACCTCTGGCTGGGCCGCGTGGGGCGCGGGGTCCCCAACCCTGATGGCGTGTCTTCCCCTCCAGGCCGCCATCTCTCAGCAGGGCGACACCTTTGTCTTCGATCTGGAGACCTCGGCCGTGGCGCCCTTTGTCTGGCTGGACGTGGGGCGCATCCCCGGCCGCTTCAGCGACAATGGCTTCCTCATGACCCAGAGGACGCAGAGGGTGCTCTTCCAGCCCTGGGCGCCCACCAACAGGAGCGCCTTGCAGCAGGCGCTGCACGTGACGTCCCTGGCGGACCTTGGCTGAGGCCGTCTGCTCAAGCAAGTGGACAGCGCTGCCCCGCGCAGGGCAGGGTCGAGGCTCCTCCTTCCGCGAGCTGCCCTCAGGTGACGCGGCGCCCAGGCGGCTCTCTGGGGAGCGAGTGCGGGAAGCTGCGGATTGGCGTCTTTCCCGTGCGGGCTCATGACACGGCTCCAGCGGCGCAGCTTATTGGCTCCCAGCCAGGAGTCACCAGGGCGTCACCAGGTGGCCTGGGCAGCTCTCGGGCGTGGGCCTCAGGTTTGCACCCTGGCGACTGCAGCCCAAAGGTAGGGTGCGGTGGGAACGTGGCCACACGCGGGTGAACCCCCTTCACGTGGGCTTATGCCGCTTGCTTGGTGATTAATCATGAATTGCTGTACAATTCTGGATGGTGCATTCGCGATTTTCAAGGTGATTTTGCTCTCAGGGAAGTGGGCCGGGCTGGCGCGCGGGCGGCCAGGCCAGGAGCAGTTTGGGCCGCTTTGTGCACGTTTGACACGGAATCCAGGTTTCCTAAGTTGCAGCCAGGACGACACTGTGGGAGGGTCGTTCGCAACTCCCAGTTGCGCGGGTCACTCAGCACTGGGCTTTGAGGAGTCTGGACGGAGGTGCCACGCGCTTGCCTCTGGTGACCGCTGCACTAGGCGTGAGCGCGCCGTCCTGCTGTAAACCCAAAGCCCACGCCCTTGGGGCTCACGGCCAGGTGGCCACCCCCGCCCCCTGCCCGCTGGCACGGGGGCTCCGGCCGGTGGTCTCAAGGCCTGCTCCATGCGGAGCCCACGCGGGACGGGAGCAGGGGCTGCAGGGGGTCTTAGGCGACGGACAGGTTGGCTCCTCGGAACTGCACAGCCCTGCTCTGGCCAGGGGAGGCAGGAGGGCTCGGCTCTGCTGGGTCCGGGGTGTCTGTGCCAGGCCAGACACCCCGATCGGGCTTTGAGGCCCAGGGTCAGACTCCCAGCGCTGCCCCACATCCTGGGCCCAGTAGTGTATGGCGTCGCACTTGGTGACTTCCGCCACCCCCAGCCTCCTTGTGTCCCCCTGCCGGGACACATGTCAGGCTCTGGGTGTCCGAGGGGCCTGTGCCGGGAGGGCGGGGTGAGGCCAGCCTGGGGCCCCTCACCTCTCCACGTGGGTTCTTCCTCCTTTTGCTCTTCAGTGGGGAGCTCCTGACCAGCGGGAGACTTGTCCTCTGAGGGAGAGAGAAGTGGGGTACAGGTGGAGGGGGTACCCAGTATTTTCGCCTGGGCCCCCTCCTCCCTCAGGTGGGCCACACCGAGGGGCCAGGTTAGGAGAAGCACGGGCGGGGGGGGGAACTCGGGACTTGGTCCAGCACCCGCAGGCCTGCGTGGAGCGTGAACGTGGAGTCCACGGTGAGCGCCTCAAGCTGGGGGCTGTGCGGGAACACGTCCGTGCCTCTCCACAGTGAGTGGGGTTCCCTGCTCGACGTGCCGCCTGTGGGGACCAGTCGATACTGGACGATCTCCGGATGGCACGGACAAGACCGGGGTCAGGAGTCCCCTCTTCTTTGACCCTGCAGGGATTAACGGAAGACTGATGCATTCTGTGCGGCCGCTCAGGGGCTCTGGCGGCCCCGGCCTGTGGTCGGGCAGGACAGCAGCAGAGGGCAATGGGCCTCGCCCTGCGGCCCACTCTGTGGCCCTCTCTGGGGTACGGGGCCTGCAAGCGCCACCCGCAGACGGCAGGCCGGGGGGAGCCCAGGCTGCGGCCCCTCACCGGCCTCGTGCTGCTGCAGGCCCCATCGCCGCTCTGCAGACGCAGCACCGACCCTCCCAGCCAGGGGGCGCCGTGGGTTGCTCCCCCTTCCCGGGCACTGGCCTGCGGCAGCATCACCCAAGCACCTGCAGGTGGGGACACTGGGTGGGATCCCCACTCTCGCCTCGTTGGTGTCATTCTGGTTTGGCTTCCGTGACATTTGCGGGGTCCCGGTGTAGCCTGGGACCTGATTCCGGCGCCTGAAACCTCAGGAGATGCTTGACGTGAGGTTTGGGGGGCTGTGCCGCCTCATGAGACAGCCCCGAGGGGGACGCTGCGCAGCTTCTGTGACCTCGCAGCGTGGCACCTTGCGGGGCCTGGACTGGGCCTGCAGGCTGGCAGCCGGGTCCGTGGCGTACCGAGTGCGGCGGGGGCGTGGGGTGGCGCTGCTGGGTCCCGGCCTTGGCGGCGGCGGCCGGCTGTGCCCATGGCTTCACCCTTGAGCGCGGGGTGATGGTAACCGCACCTGCCTCTGGGTGGCGGCCACCTATGAGACGCAGCTGCTGCTGCTGCGGGGCCCGCTGGTGGCCACTGGCTGTTGGGCGGCCACTGTGCTGTTAGCAGGTGGCCTCGGGGGCAGGCGGGTCTGGGACCTGCCTGGTGTGGGGACAGCGGGGGTGAGGGCTGGTCCCGAGCACCGGGACAGAGAGGTGAGGTCCTCGGCTGCTTCCCAGGACCTGGGGTCGTGCAGCCCCCTGTGGCTGCCCATGAACTCGCTGCCCCGTGGCTTGAGGGGGTTCAGCTTTCTTGATGTTGGGGCACGGGGACATCCCCTCCTCCCAGGTCAGAGGGTGCAAACAGAAGCGGGAGGGCTGTGGCCAGAGTGTGCCAGGCAGCTCCCTGGCCGAGCCGGGCCTCTTCTGGGGCAGGTGGACACCCCAGACCTTGGGACCAGGGGTCCTGGGGACGCTGGACATGTGCTGACCCCGTCTGACAGGCCCTGTGGAGGGGCTGGGCCACGTGGGCCCTGGGCTGCCCCCTGGGGAGGATGTTAGCTCCGTGCACCTCGGACCCCAGGCTCAGGGCAGGGGTGTGCTCCGGCCCCAGGGCAGAGGCCCCTACGGGGTGCTGGGCAGGTGCTGGGGGGCAGAAGCATGTCGAAGGCCCTGCTGTGGGGCCGAGTCTGGGTGTTCACCGCCCCGGCAGGCCGAGCAGCAGCTGCCAGGTGGGCCGGTGGCAGGGCGGGGGGCTCCGGGGGTGCAGGTTTTGGGGGGATGCTGGAGCCTCTGGGGGAGGCGCCCTTACCTGCTTGGCCTGCTTTCCCTGGGAAGGAAGAAAGAAGCCCGGCCTGGGGTTTCTCACTTAAACCTTTGAAACAGAAATAGCTGAGGTGGCGCCTCAGGAACGGGCAGGACGCGCAGCACAGTTTTGACGTGATCAAGTCTCTGCGTGAGGACGGAGCGGCTGCCGGCCGGCCTGTCTGTCCTCAGCTGACCCTGGCCAGGGCTACCCCTGCTCCAGGGAGGGTTCTGCGCTCTGCTCTCCACCCCCGTCTGTCCGGGGCCCCTCGAGGCAGCCGTGACCGTGTCCTCCCTGCGCCTGCTCCGGCTGCCCGAGACTGAGGCTGGAACCTACCTCCGGCCCCGCTGCTGCACCCGGCGTAGGGTGCTCCTTCCAGCCATGTTGTGCCGCCATGGGCAGAGCCCGCAGGCCACCGGCGGACACCCCGCCCCTGCGCGTCCCCCTGCCCCAGCTCCTTGACCACATGCTGGAGTCGGGCTTCTGCCCGCCACGAGCTGCTGTGCCCCCTGATGTCCACGTCGCACACAGCCTGCCTGTCTGAGGGCTGCTGCAGTGAGAGAAGCTGGCGTCTTGCGAGGAGCCGTGGGGGCAGCGAGGTGGTGCTGTCTCGGCCCCTCCCACCCCAGGATCCCGGCACTGGCCCTGGGTCCCGACCAACCTTGTGGGCGTCGTGGCGTCCACACAGGGAGACCAACGTGCTCTTAGTTGCGGCCACCCCACAGCCCACCAGCGACCCTAGAGGCGCGAATGGGATCTGGCGGCCTGCAGCAGCCCTGGGTGACCTGCGAGGTGACCCTGCCGACGAGTCCCGTGACGTGGAGGAAGACAGCAGCGCGCTTCCTGCTCCTTGGTCCGCCCGATGACCATGGGTAATCGGCTGGGGGTAAGCATGTCCGCGGCCGGACGAGCCCCTTCCCTCACCCTCCCATGGGGCGTCTTTCTCCCCTCTGGTTCACCCTGCACAGAGTGGCGCTGATTGGAATCTGGGGTGAGCTCCTGAGCCTCCTTTCTAGCACTAAGACGGGGTTCAGTAGCAGTTGCCCGTGCCTGAGAACGGCGTCAGAGGGGCTGTGCGGTGGCGAGGCCTGCCTGGCTCTCCCCGCCTTTCTCCTTGAGACGAGATGGGTGTGGGCCGCCGGCCCAGCTGGTGAGGGGCACACCAGGGCACAGCAGTGCCACTGCTCAGGGGTGTCCAGTGGGGAAAGTGGGCCCCCCTCTGCTGGACAAACAGGCCAGTGACCCCGAGAGCTGCTGGCCAGGCATGCAGAGGACAGGAGGGCTGGGAGCTGTTCACTGGTTGCTGCAGCAGGAGCCCTGGGCGGGTTCTGGCACCTGCTGCCCTCTACCCCCACCTGCTGGTGGACAGCAGAAGGGCCTCTGGCCCGGCTGCCCGCCTCTGGGGCCGCGCTGAGACCTGGGGGAGCAGGGAGGTTCTCTGTAGCTCCCTGGGGGCTGTGGCTGCTTCTCCTGGCATTAGCCACGGCGTGGGCCGTCATACTTGGCGAAAACGTCAACCTGAGTCTCGCCTACTCGGGTACCTGCCCAAGGGCCAGAGCCCCAGCTCTGCTGCCCCCTCTGGCCCTGGTTGTGACCTCCATGCAGAGGTGGCCCAGCACCTACGGAGGGTGGCTCCTTCATCAGGTCTGGGGTGCAGGAGGGGCCCGGGGGACTGGGCAGGAGTCCCCCATTCTGGCCTGACTCTGGAAGGCCCCGAGGGCTCCCGCCTTGTGGCCTGTCTTTGTAGCCCAGGAGGCTTGTCCTGCCACCAGGAGGCCCTGGCGGGGATGGGGCGGGGTGGGGGTCACCAAAGGTCATCGTGCTTTTACCTTAAAAATCCAACCTTCGCAAACTAGGGCGGGTCGGGCGACTGGCAGTCAGACAGGACAGAGGTCAATTTTCTGTATGAATAGATCTCCGCTTCTCCGCGTGAACAGCAGCTCAGCAAAGCCGGCCCACGCGGCCCCCGAGACCCTCTCTCAGGCTGACAGCAGCTACTGCGCACAGGGCCCGAGGACGCCGGAGGGTGCGGCCGAGCGAGGTGAGCTGGGCGGCGCCACGAAGCGTCTTTCATCTTCGTTTGACACTTTCCTTTTGATAACTCCTGTGTTCATCTGGGATCAAAAAACGGCCTGTGGACGGGCCTGATCCTTGCACTGACCTGGCTGTGACGAGCTCCTGTGACGGGAGGCCTCTCCCGGAAGGCTCTGCCGAGATCAGACACGGGGAAGTGGTCATTGCTTTTTCTTTTATTATAAAAGTAAAATAAAAAATAGCATTTTAAATCCAACATTTTTCTCCTTTAAAGTATTTGATCTAGAAACATATTTACAATAGCAAAATGCAGCTAAGGGGAAAAGACCGTTTCGGCCCTGATTGTAACCGGGTTTAAATACCGACATGTACAGCTCTTTTCAGTCAGATACTGTCAGGAAAGCTGAGCCTTGTTTATTGTACACACTGACCCTCCTCTCGCCGCCCTTCCCCCCTGCAGGCACAGGGCCGAACGTGGGTGCTGGAGGGCACCCTGGGGGGCCAGGTCGAGGGCCCCGGAAGCAGCCTGGGAAGCGGTCGCCCTCCCCAGCAGGGCAGCCGGCCGGCCGGGACCGTGGGTGAGTGAGCCCTGAAAGTCACGTGAGAACCACGGGCACGGCCCCGCCTCCGGGAGCAGGCGCTGGCGCGGGCACCGGGAGGCTCGGTGCAGTCTCCCCGCTGACCCGCGGGCTCCAGAGCTGGGGTGCTGGGACGGCCGGCAGCTAGATCTTGCCCTCGATGGGTGTGTCCTGCACGTGCATGTAGCTGTGGGGCGCCTTGCTGAGCCCCAGCAGGGAGCCCCCGCTGGCCAGGGCCTCGGTGAAGCTGAGCTTGCGGAAGGAGGTCTCCACGCCACTGTCGCAGACGCTGTCCTCCCGCTCGTCTGGGGAGAGGGTTCGGGTCAGCTGTGGGCCTGCGCCAGGGCAGCTGCTGCCCTCAGCACCCCACCGCTGCTCCGCTGGGGCAGGGCGGGGCAGAAAGCGCTGGGGGAGGCTGTGACGTGTGCGAGAGGGTGGAGGCAGCTGGTGAGGACTCAGGTGGGCACCCCTCGTGCCCGCCGCCAGGCTGTGAGCCCCGTGTGCGAAGCGGGAGACCCCAGAGCAGAGCCTGAGCGAGGGGTGGGCGAGAAGGGGCAGAGGGCCACAGCATGAGGAGGGGGTGGCTGCAGTGGCGGGGCTTAGACGCGAGCGGCACCGTGGCGAGGGGCCGTGTGGTGCCTGGGTGAGGGGCGCCGCCCCGGGAGGGCCTGGCCTGCAGGGACCCTGGTGGGCAGCACCCAGATACTGGCATCGGGTCGGACACATCCCACGTGTGGGAGTCGGCAGAGGGAGGGGTAAGGCAAGGCGAGCCCCACGGGGGAGCCCCCGTCCCCGCTGCCTTACCTATCTGCAGCCTGGTGTGGGAGGGTGACAGCGGCGGGGTGTGGGCCTGCGAGGGCGGGCTCTTCAGGCTGGGGGAGCCGGGCCCCACGGAGCAGAAGGCCCCCTGGATGACGTCGAGGGCCTCCGTGTGGCCCATCTGTCTCAGGGCCTCCATCAGCTCCTTGATCGTCCCCCCGGAGACCTGAGGGGAGGGAGGTGTGCTCACGGGACAGCCCCAGGCCCGGCGCACTGGGCTCTGCGCCGCCCCCCAGCCAGAGACCCCGAGCAGGGCACTCTCCGTGAACACGGCCCCCTCCCTCCAGGGTCGGCCAGCCCGCCTGCCCGCTGCCCCTTGCGGTCGTCCTCACCTCGTAGTTGTCCATCAGCGTCTTGGAGGGAGCAGGGCTCAGCCGGAAGGCGTTGTTCAGGACCCCCAGACCCAGCTTTTGGGCCAGAGTGGCCCAGTTTTTGTCTGGATCGGGGGTTTCTAGGAGCTTGTAGAGCCGCAACTTGGCCTCTTCAGTCAGTTGCTTCATGTCACCTGCAGGCAACGGAGACCCAGCGTGTGGACCCTCTGTCATGCTGGCCGGCCCCCCCACGGGCAGCGGGGACTGATGCCCCTCGACTCACCGTGGGCCAGCTGGTCGTCAGGTGAGAACTCCGGCTGGTAGGGCTTCCCATTCAGAATGTCAAACACCTGCGGGGGCGAGCGGGCACTGCCATGTTGGAGGGGCGAGGCCTGCTGGGGCCAGTGCCCTTCTGAGGCACAGAGGCTGTCCAGTGCGTCCCAGCGAGGGGCCTCCTGCGCGCGCCCTGGGGGCCTCTCCCCAGCACAGGGCTGAGAGTGTACAGGTTGGCACTTGAGGTGCTGGCCTTCCGATGAGTGAGGGGCGGGGCCGGCCAGGCTGCACGAGGGGCGGTCAGTGCCTGGTGGGCCGTGCTGGGGCCTGGGGTCAGGCCCCCCTGGCAAGGTAGGTGTGTGGGGTGGCCACAGCCCCTGGGCAGGCAGGAGCACCCTGGGTGTTAGGAGGTGCCCGCCCTCCTGGCCAGCAGGCCTCAGGCCAGGCCCCTGAGGCCTCGGGGCTGCTGCTGCTGCCCGTTTCGGGAACCCTCAGGGCTTGTTTTGTTCAGAAATCGCTGGGAAGTTGTCGCGGACCTGACGCTTCGCCCAGCTTCACGAGGGGAGCGGGGTTCTGGTGTGGGTTCAGAGTGGAGATGCTCACGGGCTGTCGTGGTCCTCGTGGCCCTCGCGGCCGACCCCCCACAGCCCGGGTTGCCGAGGCCGGCACCTCCGTGCCCTGAACTCTGCTGACCTAGACCTTTTGTGGACAGGCTTCTCGAGAGAGTCGAGGAAATCGTGCTCTTCACACAGGGAGCAGCTCATGCCTTGGCAGAGCAGACCTGGGAGCCTCGGGATGCCCGCGCCAGGCCCACCCACCTGCCAGCTGGCGGCCATGTCCAGCGGTGTGGTCCCCGGCACGACGCCTTCGTCTTCCCCGTCCTTTTCCCAAGAGCTGTCTGGGTCATACAGGGGCTCGAAGTTCTCCACCAGGGGGTCTGCGCCTGTGAAGCGAGGCCCAGGCAGAGGTGAGCCTGACCCAGCGCCCTGCACGGGGTCGGTCACGCGCCGTCGTCCCCCCTGATCACCCACCCGGGGCACTGCGGGGAAGCACTGACTGATCCGGTCACACCCATGTTGCCCAGGACACCGCTAGAAACGCTGGGATGACTCCGGCTTTCACACGGACTCTGCAGGGCAGGTGTTGAGGAGCTTGAGGCAGATAGGGATGGGGCGCCCTCAGTGCTGGACACCCCCAGTGCTGGACACCCCATGACAGCTTGCCCAGGCTTCCTCCTGGACCTGGACTGCCTTAAGCGCCAGACACCAGTAAGACCCGCTGTGGGCCAGTGGAGGAGGGGCAGCGCCTGGCACGACGCAGGAGCACAGCCTTCCGCAGGCTGCGCCTCACTGTAGCTGTGTCCAAAGCAGGGCCAGCTGCTGGCCCCGCTCCTATGCCCTCCCTGCTAGCTTGTCCGCTGGGGGCCAGGCTGCCCAGCGTTCCACAGGGGAGGACATGCGACTGCGACGGTCTTGCCTCAGGCGTCAGCCCGGCCACCAGCCCACAACACCTGGTCGCGGGGCCGCCCCAGGGGAGAGGGGCTGCCAGTGCAGGCGCCTCAGCGCTGTCATGGGGCCCGCCCAGACGATGGGCCAGGCCGAGGGCGATGCCCGTCCCTGCGGCACCGCCCAGGGCTCACCTGCCGCTCTGAGTAAAGCCGCCAGCCGCGTGGACCCTCTCCCGGCTGCTATGTGCAGAGGTGTGGTTCCGTCATAGGTGGTGCTGTCCACGTCAGCTTCTCCCTGAGAGCAGCCCCCAGCGGAGGGTCAGGTGAGCTGTCCCCCCATCCGTGCGACCTCTGGGGTCAGGGGACATCCCAGGGAGGGGCCGGCGTGCTGCGGAGTAGCCGTGAGCTGCCGGGGGGAGGGGGCCCACTGGTTGGCCCCCAGAGGCCCTGGGGTCCCGGGTGTCCGGTGCGGGCTGATCCCACCTCACCTCCAGGAGCAGGCAGCCCGCCAAGGAGATGTCGTCGCGCTCTGCGGCCAGGTGCAGCGCCGTGCGCCCCGACTTCCGCTCCTGTGCGTTGACGTCAGCGCCCGCAGCCACCAGCAGTAGCAGGCAGGACAGGCTGCTGCTCATCACGGCCGCGTGGATGGCGGTCAGACCTGCGCCAGCGGGCACGTGCAGGGTCACCTGGCCCGGGTCCGGCTCCACACCCCGCAGGCACCAGGCTCTGCTCACCCCACCCGTAGCCTGAGGGGGCTCAGAGCTTCCCCCGAGAACCGGCTGCAGGCCAGACAGCTGCCATCCCACACCCCCAGCCAGGCGCCGGGGCTCACCTTCCCCGTTGGGGTGGTCCAGCAGCAGTGCTGCCTGCTTGTGCTTGAGGAGGACGCCCAGGACTTTGTCGTAGCCCCCCGTGGCGGCCAGGTGCAGCACGGAGTTGCCCGCACGGTCCAGCAGGCTCGGGTCGGCCCCTGCCCACAGCAGGTCCTCCACCACGGCCTCCTGCTGGGTCACCACAGCCAAGTGCAAGGGTGTCTGCAAAGGGAGAGGCCGGAGGTCTGGTCAGCCACCACCAGGAAGGGGGGGGCCTCATAACAGGGACCCCGTCCTCATACCGAATTGCTCCCGGCCCCATATGCTGCGGAACTACTCCGGACCTTGCTGGCCGCTTAGCAGAGACGTTTTCCCCTGACCACCCCGAGCCGCGTTCCCGTCCCTCGTGCTCATCCACTGCGGAGCTATGACGCCCCTCGGTGAGTCTAGTTTCCCCGACCGCCTCATGGGCAGGCCCGTCTCCCCCGAACCTGAGTCAGCGCCTCACCCCGCCCCGGCTGTGCTGAGGCTGAGCCCCACTCGGCAGGAGCCCACGCCGCCACTGTCTAGCCCCAGGACAGGCCTCTGGACACAACCTGGCGGCCGAGGGGCAGACCGCCGCGTCCCAGGGCCAGACCAGCTCCTCGGGCAGGGCCCCCGACTGAGCCCCGCTTTGGCCCCGTGCAGGGGTGCTCAGGGAGGGGTGCTTTCAGGACCCTGCAGTCTCGGGACAGGGGCCGACCACAGCCTTCACGCAGCTCAGCCCGCTCCCCACCGAGTACTGCTGCTGCCCCCGCCGAGGCCAGGATGGGCCAGGGCCACCCTGGGGGCTCACATGGCTGCCCCGAAGGGAGACGCCAAGTGGACCCTGTGCGTGGGAGGTCGGGGCGCCGCTGTGGGTGGGAGAAAGGGGAGCAGAGAAGGGGCCTGGAAGCTGCTGAGGCGAGAACCATCTGCTTCTACAGGGAGCCGCGGTGAGGAGTGAGCGGCCTGTGACGTCGCCTCAGCCTTTACCTGCGTCCACTCAGTGACGCTGCGGACAGCGGCCACAGCGCTGCCTGGCGGTGCTGCCCCCATGGTAACGGCAGATGAGAGACCGACTGCCCCCAGCAGCCGGGGTCCCAAGGCCTGGATCTGGGGGTGCTGGTGCCACCCACAAAGAGACCTGCCACTGCGCTGCCGCCGCCTGTGTACCGGTGAGCTTGCCCCCCGCCGCCTGCACCTACCTGGTACAGGTCGTTTCTCATGTTGATGATGTCGCCGCACACCAAGCCACACGTGACCTGCAGCAGGTCCCTCACGAGCTGCGCGTGCAGGTGGATAATAGCCAGGTGCAAGACGCTGGTGGGGACAGGGGCCACGGTCAGCAGGAGGCGAGTCCAGGCCCCAGCGACTGTCTCGAGTCTGAGGGGACCTTTCGGCCGGCTCCCCAGGCTCTGAGCTGGGCCTGGGGGCACGCAGTGTGCGCTGCATGCGGCTAGGGCAGCGCCCGGCGCTGGCTGTGTGGTGCACGCCCTGCCGCCCGTGGACAGCAGGGATTTCTGGCACCTTCCAGGATCCCGGGTGCTCGGGCTTTCACCCGCAGCGGGACGTCCTGGCAGTGAACTCCTGGCCCCCAGGTGTCCCCTCTGCCGGACAGCGCCTGCCTCCCCCTGCTCCGGAGCCGCCCCAGGTGCTGCATCTCCGAGTCTCGTCTCCGCCCCTGGCTGGGGCCCTCAGGTGCAGCTCTGGAGGCCGTTGCCTGAGTTCAGAGTACCACATGGGGGAGGAGCCGAGCACCTCTGGGAGTCCAGGCCTGAGACGGCGGCTGCAGGGGCGCCAGGCCTCAGCCTGTGCCAGGCCTGTCCTGGGGGGCAGCTGCACTCAGCCGTGGAGGCCCCTGGAACTGCGCTGCCTCGGGACTAGACAGAGACCTTCAAACGCCTGATCTCGGCGGTGCGCAGCTGTGTGAAACGAGTGGCTGGCGAGGACTGGACAGTGTGGCAAGAAGGGCCGGGACAGAGGACCGGCTCCCGGGCTGACCCCCCAGCGCCTGCTCCCCAAGACTCTGGCCTGGCTCACCTGTCCCCGTTCTCATCCTGCACGGTGGCGAGGTGGCGCTGGACCGCCAGCAGCATCTTCACGTCCCCGGTCACCGCGTAGTCGAAGAGGGCGTTGGCGTGCCTCTTGGCCAGCTGCATGGCCTTGTCCAGGAAAAGGTGATCTGCAAAGCGGTGGCCACCGTCAGGCACCGTCAGGCGGCACCCCGCAAGCAGCACGGGGAGCAGTCAGAGGCCCGAGGGGAGCCGCCCCCAGCAGCAGTGTGTGGCTTTGCTGTAGCTCAGCCGTGTCCGGAATGGCCCGCCAGAGACCTGGACGGCCCCCCATGAGCCGGACGCCAGCCAGCCGGGGCCGCCGCTGGGCCGTGAGACTGCTCCTGGGCAGGGCGGCCCGGTGTTCCGGGAACAGTGAGCCCCACGCTGCCTTTCGCCAGCCCGAGCTGGGTGTGAACTGCATGTTTTTAAGGGAGTGTGAGAAATAAACTGCAAAGCGCGTGCGGCCTCTCGCCTGTGTCGTCCTCTGGAGGGGCAGCGGGTCCAGGGCCTCCCGAGCCCTGTGCGGCCCCCCCCGTGCGGGCCTGGCCTCCGGCAGCTGCACCCTGACGGCGGATCAAAGCCGGGCCAACCGCACAGCCGTGGAGGTTGTGGGCTGAGAGGCCCCTCGTCTCCCCGCCCCACGTACCTGGGAACCCGGTGCTCTCCTCCTGCGCGCCCGCCGGGCCCCCTCCTGCCGACGCTGGCTCCTCTGTGGCTTCAGGGACCGGCCCCGGGTGAGTGGCCACCTGCTCAGCGCATGTCCGGTCACAGCCTGCGGTGTCACCTTTAGATGGGGGGTCTGAGGACCCTACGAGGACGGCAAGAGCATGAGCTTCCCGGGACCACCTGTCCGGGAGCCCAGAGGTAGCCGGGGCTGCGAGGGGGAGGACGGCGGCTCCAGGCTGTGCCTTGGGGGCTACCTCGCGCCTAAGCACGCACCTCTCTGGTGTCTGGGAGCCGTGGGGCAGCAGGGGCATGAGCATGGGCCTGAGGGGCGCCTTAGCCACTGGCACAGGGCAGCCACAGCTGACGCACGGGGGTGCCCAGGCTTTGTGGGGACCCTGTCCCCGGGGACACGGACAGGAGCTACCCGCCGTGAGCCAAGGGCACCGGTGCCTATGGCAGGAGACGCCACCTCGTGTGAGGTCACACAGCTCCACTGAGGGTGGCCGACACGCATGGCCACAGGCCCAGGTGGGGCCTGGCCACAGTCCCAGGCCGAGAGCTGCCCGGAGGCGTGGCAGGGATGACCGTTCGCACCCGGGCAGTGTGTCGGGCTACAGGCCCTGCTGCGGGGCGCGGAGTGCACGCTGGTCCCCCTTGGGCTCGCTCCTCCCCGCCGTGCCACTCACTCAGCAAGCCCACAGGCTCGGCAGAGGGTCAGTGCTGCCCCCTGCACAGGGACACTGCTCTTGGGGAAAGGGCGATTTTGCACCTTTTTTCCCCTAAACCATCACGCTGCGATGTCACGATTGAAAAATCCCTTTAGGGATTCGCTCTTGCGTCCTTGCTCCGGCGCTGGAAAGCTGCGCTTACCGTGCTTCATGCCAGCATTCGACTTCGTGGCTCCAGGGTGGAAGGTAATTCCGCCGTAGGTGGGAAAGCCATAGTGGGGGAAGCCGTATCCTGAAACGCAGGGCAAGCGGGTGAGGAAAGGACTCGGGGCGCGGCGCCACACCCGCCCATAAGCCACCGGAGCCACCGCCCTGCAGGCACGGGGCGCCCAGGGCAGAGGACCCCCGCTGCCAGGGGGGCTGGGCAGTGCGCTGAGTGTCCGTACGAGCATGGGCAGTGGGGGTGGGGGTGGGGTCAGCCGTTCTCTGCACTGTGGCGTCTGAGGAGTAATTTACACGACAGCGTGGGCGGAGAGCTGGGGCGGACGTGGGTCACCCCACCAAGTAAAGGGTTAACTGGCTTTCAGCAACGAAGCTGTGCGAAGCTTGTCCACTGACCCTCAGGACCCGACCACCGTGGTGATGGCACCTGTCCCCCAGGGCCCTCAGGGCAGGACTGGGGGACCCGGCCCCTGTGAGGGTGACAGCTGAGGGCCCAAGTCTCAGCCAGCCCTGCCCTAGCCCCCCCCCGCACCCTCAGAAGCGCCCCCGGTGGCACAAGGTGGACCACCCCAGCCTACCTGGGCCTGCGCCCCCGGCCCCGCCGCCGCCACTGCTCCCGAACATGCCCCCGCCTCCGGGCCCGGGGCCCGCGCCACCGCCGAAGCTGTCGGAGAAGTTGGGCATGAGCTTCTGGCGCTTGCGCTGCACCTCCTCCTTGTCTGCGGAGAGACCAGGCTCGTTGGCCGGCGCCACCCAGCCGGGGGCGCAGGCACAGGTTAGGGAAACGGCGAACGTGGGGACGGAGGGGGCCCCCAGGAGGGCCCGAACCCTTTTCCCCTCAAGGTTCCTAAGTGCTGTACCACTGCTTTCTACTGTGGCCACGTGCGGCTCTTGGTGTTCCCCAAAGCCAGGCGTTGGTTTTTATTTCTACACTATTAAAATGCCACCTGATGAAGAAAAAAAGCTTCTCCCGCCGTGAGCGTTCTCCCTCTGCACCCGGCTGGCGTGGTGTCCCGCCAACGCCCCTACACGGCCTAGTCTCTTGGCTCAGGTCAGCCTGGTCAGCGTCCACATGCAGAAAGACCCTCACCCACGGCTAGCTCAGGGGATTCCAACCCGAGGCTGCAGGGAGGCCACGTGCTCCGTTATATTGAGACCGTCCAGCTGCCGTCAAAACTTGATGCAGAGCAAGTGGGGGACTGCGCGCAATGCAGCCAAGCAGACTGTCCACACTTGCCAGAAGAGGCCAGCCAGTCTGGGTCAGCGCCGACCAGGGCCTGCTTCCCCAGGGCGGGTCTCGGCGCAGATGCCCTGACCGCTTCCTTCCTTTTACAGAGGCCGTGGAGAGGCTGGTGAGACTTCTCCATCCGGGGCCCCATGAGCCATCACTCACTGCCGTCTGTAAGGTCACCCTCGCAGGGGACAGTCCCGGCAGGAACGTGAGGCCTCGCGGGTGGGGAGCGGACAGCGACGTGTCCTCGCGGTCGCCCTGCACGCCACTGCCGGTGCCCCAGACAGCCCTCTCACTGCCAAAGTGGAGCGTCCATGCTCAAGTCCACTGTAAAGCCGAACTGAGTCCGTTTAAAAACGCTACGCCAGGAGGGTGTAAGACAACCTGCCCAGACAGGCTTGAGGGAGGAAATGCGTCACGGTCACACCCTGCGGCGCCCGGCGGGGCTGCCAGCCCCTCTGTGATCCCGAACGCTTCCCCACCCCACCCAGCCCGCGTCTGAGCCCCTGTCCTGATCCCTCTCCTGATCCCGACTGGGTCGCCGCCGCTGTCTCACCTGAGCTCGACTTTCCTGACTCTCTGTGGCAGGTGCGTCCCCGTGTCGTGTCGACACGGAGCTGCCCTGCTACAGCACCCCACAGGTTCGCTGCCCGACACCGCAGGTCCAGCCACCTGCCCTCACGGCTCAAGGAGCTACCGCGGGGCCGCTCCCTCCACCAGGTCTGAACGTGTCAGAGCCACGACTCACACGCTGCCCAGCGGAGGCGGCTTCCGTGACCCTGAAGTGCGTCTCATGCCGAAGCCGCGCCCCGACACTTCACTGCCTGGCCAACCCCTGACCTGCACGCCTGGGCCCAGCCAGGGACACGGACGCTCACGTCAGAGCGCGACTCTCGAAGGTCTGCACCTCCCTTTGGTGTCAGATCAGACTCAGCCCCGTGACCCCCGTAGGACACTGCTTGTGGCTTCTTGAAAACCAGAAAGCAAGGGCAGCGGGCCGGTCCCCGGGATGCTACTGTTAGGGTGGGGGGTCCCCGGACCCACTCCTGGCTGCACCCCGTCACCTTTGATTTCGGGGTAGTAGAGGAACGGCTTGGGCTCGCTGGTCTCCAGGTCTGACTTCCTCCGCAGCTGCACGAACACGGAGGCCGGCTTGGTGATGTTGATGTCCTTGTACTTTGGAGTCTTGAACACAATGGCAAACTGCGAACACAGACCCAGGTGTTGGGGCGACAGTGACCCCCTCGCGGCCACGCCCGTGCTGCACAGCGCAGGCCGGGGACTCCACGGAGCCAGATGGCGTCCCCTGGCGCGTCCCCCGTGCTCCGCTGCCTCCGTGATGACCAGAGACGGCGTCTTGCGCCTGGTGCTTCCAAACGTGAACGCGCCACACGGATGAAGTGCAGGCACGCGGCCTCCTTCCTTCCCAGTCAGGGTTGGAAGTCTCCGTGGGCCCTCTGGTGGTGCACGGGTTGGAGCGCAGCACTGTGAAGCTGCCCGCAGCCGCTGCAGCACTACTTTGATCCCGGGCCAGGGAGGGACCCACATGGCGCGACAGACCCCTCCTGTCTCCCCGCTGCCCCCTCAGCAGATCTCAGCGGATCTGCTCGTCCTGCGCCCCCCTCTGTCTCTGGCGAATCCCCTCACTCTTACACCTCTGGCCTGTACACCCCAGTGCTTGTATGCATCAATAAATCAATCTTTTTTTAAAAAGTCTCCATGGTTACTGACAGGGTGTCAGAAATCCCTGCTGTGGGTGGTGAGGAACGGGGGCTCCCTCAGCCCACGGGGGTGGGGGCCTTGCACCCTGGAGTCACCGTAGCAGGGCAGCGGCCGTACGGGGCGGCGGCATGGGCCGCGAGGCAGCTGGCCCGAAGGCAGCCGCCCGTTCATTCCCAGAGCTATTCATGGCTCCGTGGTGCACTCACCGGGACTGAGACCATAAAGGCCAGAAAGGCAGACTGCGCCTGCGGGAACGCCCCCTGCCTCCCTCACCCGTTCAGGAAACCCCTTCTGTGTGCTGCCCCGGGGCTCAGCTGGGAATCACGAGTCTCCCAAGCACCTTTTCGGCCCTCTGCGCCCAGACGTCAACACAATCTCTTACAGTTTTTTATGTTTCTAAAGAGTGACAGGTCTGTGCAAGCTCTGTGTGTCCACTGAGTGCGCGTTCTGCTCGGTGTCCACCGAGGGCCTAGCTCAAAGAAACCCCGTGACTCATGCTCAGTAGCGAGGATATTCAGAGAATTTCCAGATTTTTTTCACACACACGAGCCCTCCTGTAGAGCTGCCCTGCAAGTCCACATTTCACCCCTAGTCATGGCAGCCCTGGGGCCTGAGGCATCACGGAGACAGCGGCCTCCGGGCAGACGCCTGCTTTCCGCCCTCTCGCTCTCATCACTTACCAGGCTGACTCTGCAGGGCGGCCCAGCAGAGCACGCCTGGCCCCCTGCGCCCGGCCCGTGTGAGCCCCCCCCCCACCCCGGTGGGTCTTGGGACGCGTAAGGAGCTAACCGGCCGAGGCTGCTGCTCCGGTTAGATCGGACCTTGACTCTGACTGGACTTCGAGCCTCCCCACCTGGGAAGACAGGCCTGTGATTTACTTCACACTCGGCTTCTTAACCTGCCCCGTCTATGTAGTTTTGATACGGCAGTCCGCACACACCAGGCGGCCCCTGAGGCCTTTCCATTAACTGGCAGGTGGCCAGGACCCAGTGACAGGTCCCCCCACGGCGCCTGCGCACGGAGGCCCACAGCCTGGGGTAGGGAGCACTACTGGAAGGCCCGGCAAGTACTGACACAGCCTCCCTCCATGGCAGCGAGGCAGGACACGCAGTGGCGCCGCCCACCTACCTGTCTGTGAACGTCCGTGGGGGAGAAGTCTCCAAACCCTTCCCAGATTCCGCCATTTTCCTCCTCTTCATAAAAGCGAATCTGGATGTCATCTGCAAATAGTCACAGTCAGGCAAAGCCGCCCACAGGGGTGAGACAAACACGCCTGAACATGAAGCTGGCTCCAGACCCCGTCTCCTGGGCACTGACTACACTGCTGAGGACATAACAGGAAAATGACTTCTGCATCACTGAAGACTCTCTGAGCCATTGGTTTTTATTAGTCACAATAACGAGCCACAAGTTTCACTTTCGATGACACAGACTATAGAGGTTTTTTTTTTTTGTTTTTTTTGTTAAGGATTTAAAAAAACAACTGGGATACAGGCCAGAGATGCAGGGGTAAGAGGCTTCACCAGAGACAGAGTGGGGAGCAGAACAGGCCGATGGACAAAGAGCACTGCTGAGGGGAGCAGCGGGCGGGTCAGGAGAGGTCTGCCGCGTGCTGTGGGTCACCTCTGGGAGGGGAAAGAATTTGCACCAAAGCAGCTGTGGCCAGCTGGCAGTGCTGCGTGCCAAGCCACTGCGCCACCAGGGAGGGCCCTGAATTTTCTTTTAATGAATCTTGGACTCCCCTGTCTCGACATTCCCAAAGTGGTTTAACTAGAGCCAGATTCACGTCATAATTCCTTACTCTACAGGCCCCTGCGTCTGTCTCTCTGTCTCTGTCCCACTCTCCACATGCTCTTTAATCCTCCAACAACTCTGAGAAGGTGTCTACTGAGAGCCTCACTTTACAGAAGAGACCCGGAGTCCAGGGGGCCCAGGTCTCCTACCCCAGGGTGACCAGCTAACAGAGAAGCCAGGGTTTGACACGCCGCTTCCTGGTGTGGGCTTTGCACTCGGCTCTTGCACACGCCACTGTGCTGTGCCCGCCCCCCCCCGCCTTCCCCCTGCCCTTCCCCCCCTTGCCGCTTTTCTGCTCCTCAAGCACGATGGGGTCGATGGGGTCGCCCCGCCGTGGAATGCCCACCCGCACTTCCCTCCTCCAGCGGGAAAGGGAGGAGGGGCTGCAGTCTCTGCTCCTGGCCTCACTGCAGTCTCAGGGAAAGAGCACTGGGACTTGCCAAGGTGAGTTTGCATTTCTGTTCAAACGAGCTTTCGGAATAGCGGACTTGATAAAGATCACGCCCTGGTTCACTCCCGTGTCTCAGACCACTGCACACTCATCCGATCTAGTCGCTCACGTCTTCCAGCCAGGGAGAGACGTCCCTGTGGTGTGGAAGCCTTTCAGAACCACACTCGCAGATGTGCAAGTTGTGGGCCAGCGACCTGGTTGTGGAAGGGCTGACACCAGACGTGCCGGGGAGGCCTACAGTGTTTCTGGGGGAAGACACGCACCTTTGCCTTAGATTCTGACCTCATTTTTTCTGAGTTACCTCAGAGCACTTAGCCACAGGTGACAGTGATCCTCTTTTGAAGCTCCGGGTGTAGTGAGGGGCTACCGTCAGTCAGGTGTCTGCTGGCTTTGAAAATGCTCACTGCTTAGTGGTGATAATCTTATCTGCACTTTGCATCCTATTTTTAAGATAAGTTCAGTTTGAGAAAATAACCATCTTTTAGTTTCTACTAACTGATGGCTCTTACACTGTATCTCGCAAGAGATACGGCCAAGAACCTTTTCTGGAAGAGAAAATGACAAGAGGAATGGCTGACGGTCTCCTGAATCCCCTTTCTCTTGCCCTCTCTTCCTCACCTTCGAATGCCATGGCCTGCTCAGGTTTGCAACAGTGCGTGGTGAAATAATTTTACACCATGTGTATCCCGTGCGTGTACACGTGTGTGTGGGTGTGTGAGAGGGAGAGCGAGAACCAGGGGCTACAAACTGTCACTGAATCTGGACCCAAAATTGAAGGTACAAACAAACAAACAAAAAAGAGCTTAAAGTAACATTCTGGAGGGGCCCTCCCTGGTGGCGCAGCGGGTCACAGCGCGGCACTGAGAAGCTGAGGCCACCTCCGCATGAGTTCGATTCCCGCCTGCCCCGGAGGGGACCACAGGGCGCGGCAGACCTCTCCTGACCCGCCCGCTGCTCCCCTCAGCAGTGGACTTCATCGATCTGCCTGTTCTGCTCCCCACTCTGTCTCTGGTGAATTCTCTCACCGCCCCGGCACCTCTGTCCTGTACCCCAGTTCTGTATCCATAAATAAATAAATCTTTTAAAAAAAAAATCTGGAAGAGCTGAGATGTTCGAATTTCTTGAGTTTTGTGCAGAACAGGGATGCACCTGGTTCTGTGGCAGTCCTGGAGGGAGCGTGGGTTACCTTTCTGAACCTTGTCACAGAGCAGGTAAATCTCCTCGCCTCCAGTCACGCAGCCCGCTGTCCTGTCCATTCTTACGATTTTCAAGTTGGACGCGTTGGGGGCTTCTGTCCACAGGAGAAGAACAACAGATGTCATGGTTTACCCTCAGCACCCCCTTCCAGGCCTACAGAGACCTGCCCTGCACACGGCTCACGGGGCCCGGCGAGGGAAGGCTGCGCTCCCCGCCAGGGCCCGAGACACTCCCCCCGGGAGGGGCGGGAGGGGCGGGAGGGGCAGTGATCGCTTCTCCCTCTTACACTCAGTGGTTGACCCCTGAAGCCCCGTCACCAGGTCCGTGGATGTGTGGGGTCCTGCCAGGCTGGGATGTTCCCCCAACGACCACGGTGACACAGCCACACCCACAAGCACCCAAGGGGTTCAGAAAAACCCAGTTTTCCTAAACTCATTATTTTTATTCTATACACAAGAAAAAAAAGGAGCTGATCTTTCCCCTCCCCAAACTACATCAGGATCTGCTGGTAGGGGACTCACATGGTGGGAGCGCGAAGCCCCCACTGGCTGGGCGCTGGCGCGTGCTTTATTTACGCCAAATTCTCTGATCAAAAAGACACCAGGAGCCGGAGCAGCTGCCTGGGCCCCAGCCCTCCCCGCCACGCACCCCCTCCAGCAGCGCAGCAAGCGCGCCCCTCGCGATGGTGGGGGCCGAACACGTCTCTAGGAATGATGTACAAACACCCTGCGGCTCACGCAGGGTGCTCGTCACGCAGGGCTAGCACCGGCGAGGGCCTGAGAGCGGCTGCCGTGCTGAGACCCGGTGACCAGCGCCTCAGGGGTGCTGGTCTCGAGGGGTGAGCCATTCTGCCCCTTCGGGCTAAACGCACGGGGGGAGCCTGGGCCACTCCGTCAACACATTCCACTTTGTGCCCAGGCATCAGCTTTTCTGCCAGGTCTGAGCCCCCGAAAGGCCCAGAGAGGAGTCAGGTGCGTCCCGGGGACCCAGGCAGCCGGGCATGCGGCCGGCCGGCGACACTCACTGCTGTCGTAGATGGGGTCAGACACCACCGGCTCCAGGCGCCGCGTGAAGCTGCCCGTGCTGTCGGGGAGGAAGGCCGTGAACATGAGGCGCACCACGCTCAGGTCCATCTCCTTGGTCTGCTGCAGGGCCGCCTGGCGGATGGTCTCCTTCTCCCGGTCTAGGGCACAGCACAGCCTGTCAGCCCCGCAGCTGTGAGCGTTTCTGGGGTGCCGCGTGAGGGACGTGGCCCCGACATGGCTACAGGGCTCCCGCGGTCTCTGCACATTGCGGCGGCCACCCCCGCTGGTCTGCCCGCACGCCCATCCCGGCCAGCTGGGCCTCGAGCGCGTGGCCCTTGCAGGAAGCTTCTGCACAGGGCCACGTCTCATTGTCGTGTCATAAGGGTGGTCGCCTGCGTGGTGCGCCCATGGAGGAGCTCCAGGTGGAGTGGTGGGATTTCAGAAGGGGCCCGAGGCCCTGGAACTGGGAGGCGGGACAACTGCACATGAAGAGCGAATTAGGGCCTCCCAGGATGAGCAAGGAGGCGACACGGTGAAGATGTGGCGGGCTGCGGGTGGCATAGCGCAAGTTGGGGGTCCTGCTGTGGAGGGCGGGGGACCCTGACAGTAGTGGGTCAGGCTTGGTGAGATCTACCTGGGCGCAGGGAGTGAGCTGGGCCAGCCGTGGAGAGGGACAGAGGCCACAATGCGGCGGGCAGGCCAGGAGCAGTGCCCAGAGCAGGACGGGAGCCGGCG